AGAGACTGTATATAACTATATACAACCACAGACTGTGTACAACTACAGACTGTGTACAACTACAGACTGTGTACAACTACAGACTGTGTACAACCACACATATACATATTGGATGTTGTGGCAGGAACCCTGTGGAGCAGATAAGCAGCATCACTGAGGACATCGATGAACTTCTGGAAGAATTAGTGGACGAACATGGAGGTTTCCACCAGTCAGAGGTAAACGTGACATCACAACCTTCTGTTAGTGCCAGAAAAACTCTCGACTGAAGAGAAGAGTCTACTCATTGAATTTTACTGAAGTACATGTTGTAATAAACATTACAGCAAAACATATTGTTTGATTGTAACAACTAAGTTCATAATGTCCAATTAAATATTTAGGCAGTTGCATTTATTTGAATTTTAAAAACTGTGTGGTGAAGAAGAACGTGCCTTTTCTAAATGTGGTGTGTTTTATTTATTTCAGAGAGAAAAACTTCCTAAAGAACCACGAGCGGAGCAGAAGCCTCCGTCTCAGTCTGGAGGGAGAAAGTAGGTCAATCAGAAATGCTCTGCAGAATCAAGTTGCACTGTTCAACCAAATATTTGGTATTTTTAGTGAATCAACATGAAAAGGACAGTTTATTACCTTTTCTTGCAGTAATATTTTATGTTCAGGGTTCTGTCTAATCGAATCTAGTTTCTGTGATGACAAATCTCAAGTTCTCGTCTCGTTTCATTGGCTCTTTTGATCGTCTTAAATGTGGCTGCTGTGTAAAGATGTCTGGTCTGCGTCCAGGTGCTGTCCTGTGTTCGTGGGAGGCTGTTCTGTTACAAATGGCGTTGGAACAGCCACATCCAAGAGGTGCGAAAAAATGACTATTTATAAAGATACAGACTTTTATCATTTTCCGGTAATACACAACTGATCTCTGAGACACCAAGTTATGGTAGAACTGTGGGTTTACCTTAGTGTGACTAAATGTATAACAACTTCTAAATAAAAGACAATAATGAATCATAACTGAGCAGAGTGTGTGTCAGCAGGTCCTGTGACCAGCTGAGGTGTATATCCTGTGACTTCAGGGTGCTGATGTTTGACGACTGTGAGTGGGACTCGTCCTGTGATTACCTGTTCCTCAGGTGAGTCTGCAAGCTTCCTGTTCTCACTTCAGAGGAAACTTTTTTAATCTTAAGACTGAACAACAAAAACATCTTCTTATAATTAGTTATTAGTCATAAAGCAGCAGATAGGATTTACCCCTCAGTACTAGTTGTTAAATGTATCCGTCATTGAATCTGAAATCTGAGCACTGAGGTCATATCGTCGATGAAGATTAAACTTTCCTCCGCTCTGTCTTTGTCTTCCTGTGTCCTCACAGGAACAACGTGCCGGACCGTCAGAAGCTCCGAGCCAAACTGAAGAAGAGGAGAGGTTTCCGGGCTTACGCCTGCCAGTGCAGCTGGTTCTCCTCCTCTTCCTCCTCAGAGCCGACAGACCTCCGGGTCCAGCCTCAGCTCAGATGGGTCTGTGGAAAACATCAGGACTGACGTTCAGAAACTGGAACGAAAATGTGACTGACAGAAGAACTTCTGATACTTCCAGCCCGTCCCCATGAATCTGTAAAGTGAGAGTGGATTTTAAACAGTGTGTGTTTGCATTGTTCAGTGCTGACTCTGCGCTGGATCAGGCGTCTCTGAAACAGAAGAGTGATGGACTGAGGAAGACAGGGTGACAGAAGTCTGACTCAGCCTCGGACAGCAGGGGTCACTGAGGAGGAGGAGGGGGAGCGGCAGGAGGAGGAAGAACGAGAAAACAACAGACGGAGAGATTGAAGACTGAAGTGTCGGCTGTTGTCTCCTTCTGCCGGAGTCAACTTGTCTGTTCTGGAAGAAAACTGAGCGACTGAGAGGAACAAAGCAGTGAAGCTTCACGTTATTAGATGTTCACATCATTTCAAATACATTTCTAAAAGAAGAATAAACACCAGGCAGACAAACGTTTTCTCTCATCACTGCCTCAGTTAGCTGGTTAAACACAGAAACTACCACCCGTCATTTTCTATAGACTATCTATCAGTGGAGGCGCCCCCTGCTGGTTATCATACAGAACACAGGTTTCAGGGGCTTCTGAATTCACTTTCTGAAACACTCTGTTTTACATTATTGAAGTTTATGGTTTTTTTCATCATTTAATTTCTGCTAATGTTCTTATTAGATTTGTTTGATTGTCTTCTGTGTTGTCGTAGCTCGGTGCTGTTAATAAAGTTGATTTAAAAACACAGAGCTGGGGTGAAGACCCGCCCCTGCCTCTGATTGGGTCAGTGTTCGGCATGAGGAGCTATGATTGGTCAGGTCTCGGAGACGAGACCGGATTGAGCCAATCAGAGGCAGTGTGGGGAAAGAGACACGGGCTGGTGTGAGCGGAGGAGAAACGATGGAGGGAGAGCAGGAGGAGATCCTGGATGACTGGTTCATCGAGTCCCTGACAACGTGAGAGCGTTCTCTCCTTCTCTTTGTTTCGTCTGTGAACTTCATGCTATGCTAACCACTTAGCTGCAAGCTCTATTCAAACGGTAACGCTGCTAGCAGGTTAGCATCATGGTTAGCACAGCGAGGACTCGGGGGGTCATCACTGAAACACGCATCATGGCTCCTCTGGTTTTATTCAAACAGACCCGAGACACAGAACACCACCGCCGGGTTCTTACTCGGGCAGCGTCGCTGAACCTATGACTTCATCTAACGTCTGTCACTTTGTTCTGGGGACTTCAGGGCTCAGAGGCAAACATGTCTCCAGGGGACACGTGAGGGACCGAGCCTGTCTCCATCAGACTTCATAGTTTTATCAGTGACAGGGTCTCTGCCTCGTGTCTGTACAGACATGTCTGGAAGGATTAGGCCTTTACACCATGCATGTATAATGGCGTATTAAGGTATTAGTATTAAAGTATTAGTATTATAGTGAGGTATTTTCTTTCACACATCTTTCTAATGCTCCTGCAGCACATTGTCATCCAGCTGCTGTGTCTACGGACCCCAGATTATTAAAGGTTGATGATGATGAATTCAGACACTGACAACTCTCTGGTTTGTCTCCAGGTACAAAGATCTTCATGTGTATCAGCTGGAACATCCCACACAGGTCATCGAGTGGACGTCAGGGAAGAGTGAGTGAATTTATTTCATTAGCTGTCAGACTGTGACATTTACAGCAGCCTGCACACAAAGCATCAAACAGACACATATACATTTAAAACTAATCAACCTTTGAGAACCACAAGTTGGTCAAACACTTGAACACTAAATATTTGCTGTTTTTAAATGTGCTCGATAATTAAGTCATCTCAGTTTATCGACTGATTGTTTCAGTTTAACACATCCGGCAGTAAAATGCATCGTTGTCTCTTGTGTTCTGCAGCCGTCTGTGTCGCAGGATGCACTGAGTCTAAAAATGAAATTTTGGAGCTTCGTCTGCCTCTGAAACTCTTTGCCGATGAAAATAAGGTAATGAACAGAACAGAGGTCCAAACTTTGTGGATGATGTTTTAGAAACGGCCGATTCAGGCATCATAACACCAGAGACTCTGCTGTGTCGATGTGTTCAGGGTCTCTGTGCAGAGCGGGACTTTAAAGTTGTCCATGGTGGTTTCGCAGAGGGACCCATTCGCTGCCTCAGACACGTCCCGGGTACAAGGTGGGTTTGTGACGCGCACATTAACCCGGTGATATTACATTTGCATATGGCAATAATTAGATTCACTGTCTTTGTTTTTCAAGGTGTGTTGTGACCAGTGACGGGCGGAGCGCCGACCTGGAGGTGTGGGAGCTCGGAGGAGACGACAGCGGTGAGTTTAGTTTAGCTGAAGCTAATCTCTGTGCTCTTACATGGTTCAGTTTTCTGCTCACAGGCCTCATCCACGCTTCTTGTATGTAAGCACATCAGCGTTGCTACAGATCAACTGGCGTCCAAGGTTGGAAACGCTGCTGGTCCTGTTTAGTTTGGAAACTCTGTCGCAGCGTTTTAGTCTGGACGGGCAGAAACTGAGATGTTTGGAAACGATGACGTGGACGTAAATGTGGTTTGATAAGAAGACTGTTGGACCCTTGCGGAGGAATGAGCTCTACTGACTGACAATGTAATTGCTTCAGACGTTTAGAGGCTGTTTCATTCTAAAACTCATTTGGTCGTCTTCTGTGTGTTGTCGTACGATGTCAGACGTGATCCGGAGAACGGGGAGCGTCAAGAGGAGGAGCAGAGTTTCAGAAGGAGGCAGCAGGATCGCAGCTCGTCTCTGGTCACAGCCACAAATTCTCCATGGAGCCCTGACCAGCGACATCCAGCTGACTGAGCTGACCTCGGGACAGACGCTTTACCAACTAGGTAACACTGAGAGATCTGCATGGAGCAGTTTTATTAGTTAGTTTCAATCGGAGCAGCTGAGTGAAATGAAATGACTTTGCTCCGTCAAAAGTTTTTTTTCCAGTTGTGTCTCAGTCTCTTCCTGTAGTCCTTCAGCAGAGAGTTTTCAATACTGTCATCATTTGTCACTGGTCTGACGTCTCATCATATATTAATGATGTTACAGGGGAGTGTTAAAGGAACATTTTCATCAACTACGCGTCTCTTTTTTTCTTTTTGTCTCAACAGAGACAGACACAGCAGATCCTCTGAGTTCCTTACAGTTTGTTAATGACAGTGTTTTCCTCGCCGGCTGCTCTAAGGGGAACATTTACGTCGCCGACACTCGGACGTCTTCTGCGCCTCAGATTTCACCTCCACCAGCTTCTGGCAAATCAGCTCTATGGTGGACAGACACCTCAGCAGGTCCAGACCCATCTAGCTGCAGGGTCATCAGGTTGTCCTCTTCTGGCGAGGCGGTGGTTTCTGACCTGAGGAACCCACGAGGAGCCGTGAGTCGAGCACGGCTGGACGTGCAGACACGCTGCAGCAGCCTGGATGATGTCAGGCTGTCGTGGGCTCCAGCTCTGGATGACTGTGTGGCAGTGTCAGGTCAGTTTATGCTGGATGTTGGGACTCTGACACTCTGTATTTGTCAGTGTCACTGAGAAGTTGAAAAACTGATCCAAGAAATCAAAAAGAAATAGTCTGGATAACATGTAAACATAAAAAGTCATGTCAGCACATGTCTGTCCCTTCTCTGACACTGAAAGCAGAGTTTCAGACTGAACACCAAGATGAAAATGTACTTATACGTAGTTTATAAGATTAGTTCCATGTTTGAGATAAAAGATCGACACAACAAAGCCTCAGCTTATAGCCTGTTAGCTTAGCATTAATACTGGAAACTGGGGGAAACGACAATAAGCCCCCGTCCAAAAAATGATGTAGCTCCACATATATGTATTATTTTTCTCATCTAGTCAATAAAACATTTTAAGTGTATTTTTATTTTGATAATTAATTGTCATTTTTCATCCATGGTTCATCCACAAGTATTTTCCATTAAGAAGCAAATAAAGACATGAAGTTTTAAATGTTCCGACTTCTCTCTGGCAGGTTTCAGTGGAACGGTTCAGATCTACAACACATCTGTGTGGAGGACAGAGCTGCAGGAAGCCCAGCCGCTGTTTGAGCACCGTGGTCACGTGGTGTCATCCCGACAGTCTGACGTCCCCCTTGTCACCTACCACGTCTGGCATCCCGATCGCCCGCGGACGCTGCTGTCCGCAGCCTCAGACGGCTCCGTCCACGTGTGGGACTGGGTGGACAGCTCAGCTTTGGACTAAATACTAATCAGACTGGTTTTTATATGACGACTCATTTTTGTATTGTAATTTTTATTGTCGTCAGGAAATAAGTGCATCCCAGACAAATGGAAGAACAACACGGACTGTGAATAAAGATTGACAGCTCGCTAAAAGTGAAGCCAAAGTGTCTTTATGTAGATGGGACCATTGTAGTTTCTTTTCTACGCTCGGCTAATGCTAATAAAGTTTAACACAAAGATCAGAAATAAAACGTCGCGTTTGTTTTAAAGATCTTCAGGCTGGGCGGAACGTTAGGTCCGCGGCTGTCGGTTCGCAGGGGGATGTTTTTAACGTGACACGAGGTGAAGCTGGGACGTTGAAGGGGAACATGGCAGCTGGAGTGAAGCTCGGCTCATGGAGCAGCAGAGCCTCGCTGTACAGGAACATGTCGCCCGGCAGCTTCTGTCGACAACAAGCGGCTGTGACTCAGATCGTGAGAGCGAAGAGCAGCGCGACGGAGGATTCACACAACAACCAGGAGTTCTGTCTGCAGCTGGTCCGGTGGGTCCATGCTAACACAGCAGCTAGCTAAAGCTATTTTCATTGACAGAGCAACACGTAGCTAAAGATGTGTTTATTAACAGAGCAGCAGTTAGCTAAAGATGTGTTTATTAACAGAGCAGCAGTTAGCTTAAAGCTGTGTTTATTAAACAGAGCAGCAGTTAGCTTAAAGATGTGTTTATTAACAGAGCAACACTTAGCTAAAGCTGTGTTTATTAACAGAGCAGCAGTTAGCTTAAAGCTGTGTTTATTAACAGAGCAACAGTTAGCTAAAGCTGTGTTTATTAAACAGAGCAACAGTTAGCTTAAAGCTGTGTTTATTAACAGAGCAGCAGTTAGCTTAAAGCTGTGTTTATTAACAGAGCAGCAGTTAGCTTAAAGCTGTGTTTTCATTAACAGAGCAACACTTAGCTAAAGCTGTGTTTCTTAAACAGAGCTGTACAAAGGGTAGAAAAGTTGTCAGACTCTCTACAGTGGAAGTGAAGTGTGTCCCTTCACTTTCTCTCCCCCGCCTGTTATCCTCACCACCTCCTCCTCCTCCTCCTCCTCCTCCACAGGTCCAGAGACTATGATGGCTTTGTGTCCTCCCTCCTCCTCCCAGAAGAGGCCCGGCGCTCCTCCTTGGCTCTGAGAGCTTTTAATGTGGAGCTGGCACAGGCAGGTATTCCTACAGACAGACTGGGGGGGGGGGGTGTTATTGATCTGACTGTTACTGCTGCCATGTTTGTGATATGTTGCTGTAAATCAAATCTGTGTTTCACGCTGAACTGAGTGAAGTGACTCGTCGAACAGTTGCCCTCTTATGTTTCACCAAAAGGTGAAAGATTCAGTTTCCCAGAAGACCATTGGTCTGATGCGGATGCAGTTCTGGAAGACGGCCATAGAAGAGATCTACAGAGATGAGCCTCCGAATCAGCCAGTCACCGCAGAGCTGTGGAGGGTAAATATTAGAGCTCTAGATATAGAGAGAGAGCTCTCTATCTATCTATCTATCTATCAGAAAGGTTTTACTCTTTACTAATATCTAGTATATATCATCCCATAGAGTGCAGAGTAGAATATGTTCTCTCTCATCTGTGTCCAGATTCAGCTTCATCATGAACTCAGGGATGTTAATTAATGTTGAACTCTGCCGACTGACACTGAACAATGTGTTGTAGGCAGCGAGGAAACACTACCTGACGAAGAGATGGCTGCTGAGGATCGTAACCGACAGAGTAAGACACTGAATGACGTGTTGATTCAGTTCACTCAGCTCTGGAGTGAACTTATAACAACGACAGGTTTTGAAGCACGTCTTTCATTCTCTGTCTTGTTTTTAGTTTTTTCTTTCCTGTTCCGTTCGATCAGTGGGTAACACACGGGGACGTTAACCCCAATAAAGGAGTGTGTAGGACTTAGTGACATCTAGGGGTGAGGTTACAAATTACAACCCAGAAAATATCCCTCACCAAATGATAATAAAGATTTCTTAACTTAAATGTGATGTGGGTCCATGTAGAGGGGCAGAGCCAGGAATGTTTATCACTTTCTTTAACATGTTAATTTGAACATTTTTGATATTTAATACATTTTTGATATCAGGTAATATCTCATGGTTCTTGATTAAAAAAACAAACCAGACAGGAGAGTGTTTTTATGAGTTTGGCACCATTTGGTGCAGCTTCACATTACTGATCTAGCAGATTTAAAAGTGGTTTGAAACAATGTGTAGCTGAGGTCACAGGGATTCAGGAGAGAATCAATCAATTGAATTAACTTCACACGTTCACAGATATTTTGAAAACTGACTAGAGGTCATAAGTGAAACGCTGAAGGGGTTAATACTGAGTATGTGTGTTTGACTAGGAAAAGGATCTGGATGACAAAGCCTACAGGAACCTTCAGGAGCTGGAGACGTATTCAGAGAACACACAGTCCTCTTTAATATACCTGCTGCTGGAGTGTTTAGGTGAGACAAGTAAGAGCTGTTAGCACAAGCTGCTGGTGTCCTCTTTCTAAATACATTCCACCTGTTGAACTCCGTCAGGTTTGCCCTCTGACTAGTTATTAGTTTTATAAATAAAACTAGAATCACCTCCTGGTTCTCTTCTGAATATTTAGAGAAGTTGACCTTTGAGTCTTTGAGGTTTAAAACATCATCACGTCATCGTTAGTCATTTCATGGATAATTGTCAAAGTTAGTACGTTAGTTCTTGAGCTTTGTGTTTAATGACCTTGACCTTTGACCTCACATGGCACAATAATAACAGACACTAATGAGATGTAATTAGGACCCAGACTTTACCCACTGCTAAATCAAATCCCAGAGGAAGCACTGTGCAGGTAGGTGATGACGACAGGACGTACATATTTAAAGTTCTTTAAATTACAATGTGAAGCCAAAACTAACCAGATCAAATTGAAACAGTGGAAGTGACATGAAGCCTGGTTCAGACTTTCAGCTGAGAAAACCACTCTAGTTAAAGTAAGTCTGTCAAAGCTTTTCCAAGACTTACACATTTGCTTTTCTCTCACAGGTTTGAAAAACGTCCACGCCGACCACGCAGCCAGTCACATAGGTAAAGCTCAGGGAATCGTGACGTGTCTCAGAGCGACTCCTTATCACAGCAGCCGACGGAAAGTCTACTTGCCCATGGACATTTGCATGTTGGTGAGTAGGTGCACACCTCCTACCCTGACTAACACTTAACTCAGTGAAGATGTGAGTGAGTTCAACCTGCAGGTTTACTTCTGAAAGCTGCTCCCAAAGATAACGTGAGACACATCCCACACACGTTTGAATCATGGCTGAGTCCTGACACGCTGTCAGTTAAGCTCTTGTCGACTCAGTAATTAAATTGTCATCCAGTTCAAAACGATAAAAAACGACAGTGAGAGATCAGATCGTTGCACAACTAATATACGGCAAATAAAGAGCAGAGTTGAACCCTCCTGCCTGAGATGCGTGCACGATGCAGATAAACAAATAACGCTGCAAACGATTCACAACCTTTGTCTGGGCCATCTGTCCCACATAGAGGGGGGGGGGGGCAGATGTGTTGAGGCTGCAGCATGAAGCACGCAGGCTCTGCCCTTAAAATCTTCAGCCAGAGAGATGACGCTCGTGACCCGAGGCCTCCCGAGCGTAGCCTACACCCCCCCTCCTGCACTCACGCCATATGAACCAGTTAGCTCATGTCTAAAAAAAAAAAAGAATCTGTGGAGTGAACTGTGCAGCTGATACTTGATGAGAATCACATGGGGAATATCAATCGAGCAGGAAATGAATAGAACAAGACGACTGAAGAGCCACTGACAGCGTTCATGTAGACCTCCATCAGTGAACGTACCAGTGCAGCGTCTAAACTTCAGTAAAAGTTATCGAGTCAAAAGATGAGTGTTTCCTCTGAACGTGACCTTCAGCAGCTGTTACATTATAAAGCATCGTGTCTTTGGAGCAGGTGAGTAAAGGCAGTCGTGAGATTGTTTTTGGTGTGTTCCTGCAGCACGGAGCTTCTCAGGAGGACTTCATCCGTGGCAGCCGGGAGCAGAACGTCCGGGATGTTGTGTACGACATCGCCAGTCAGGCTCACGTACATTTACAACACGTACGTACCACACATACACAGGAACAGCATTTTTGAACTCGATGTTGCTGATGAAGGTTTTCACAGAAACAAATTGAGCAAACATTAGCGGCAGCTCAGAGACGTCCTGAACATTTGATGCTTTTTTCATTAAGCGGCTGCTCAGACGTTCATCAGCCTTTACTCTTGTGTTGTGTTTGAACCTTGCTCATTCTCGCTGAGTGTTTTTAATGCTGGTAATGTGTTTCCTGTCTTCTGCCGCCTCTGACTGAGTTAGAAAAGCACCACATTAATTAACTGGAGGAGGAGAAGGGAGGAGGTTTCTACAGAGGTTCTGTTAGTCATTAAAACGCCTAATGGCTTCTGCGTGGGGAAACATTATTAATTTTGTTGTCATTATGGATTCTAATGATTCGACCTTTGTATTTATCATATTTTGGAAGTAAAATAAAACTCATGTAACTTCTGATTTCATCTCTGGAGCCCGACAGGACAGAAAATCTCTTTTAGGTTGTGGCCAACTTCAGTTAGGTGATGTTTTCTGTGTGAGACATGAAAGATTTTCTTTAACGTTGTGAAACATGCTGATGTTGAGCTTTAGTCGTGGTGGAAGTCTGATAGTCCTTCAGTGGAATTAATCCACGCAGAACACAAACCATTTAAAGATCATTGAAAATGAACTCATAATTTAAAGTTTGAGATTATTTATTGACAGAGGGATTAACCAGCTGGGTAACATCTGATATCAGAACATTTTAAATATGTGTTTTCTTTCTTTCAGGCGCGATCGTTTAGCCGCAACGTTCCAGCAGCGGCCACTCCGGCCTTCCTGCTGACGGTGAGTCAGGGCCGTTACACTCAGATATCAAATGATCAGCCTGAACGTAAATATGAGAAAACAAACACAGACGACTTTTTAAAATGACATTAAAAGAACTTAATGTTGTTAAATGTGATACCACCTAAGAACGTGGTTGAAGTGTGGTGCTGTGTGCTGCAGGTGGTGTTGGAGGATTACCTGCAGAGAGTGAGGAGGGCAGACTTTGATATTTTCCATCCCAGTCTGCAGAACAGAAACCCCCTCCTCCCCATCCAGCTCTACTTCCGCTCCTGGAAGAAGACCTACTGACGCTGATCCTACACCCCCACCTCCCCCCAGAGATTCCAGGCCCGCTCCTCTGAGAGCTGCTGGTCGTCATAGTATTATGTAGTACAGTAATACCTCTTCAGACAACCTCACAGGCACAACATGAAGACAGGCGGACGTCCTCCTTCACACATTTTAACATGAGACTCTTCCAAATTTGCTTCTGTCGTGACGGAGTCGTCGCCTGCTGCGTTTCTGTGAATCATAAAAAAAAAAAGCTTTCACCACAAACTCTCGCAGTATTATTCTTGTATCAGATGATCAGTCTCACTAATTTTGAGAGTTTTGTTGTTCATTTTGTTCTTTAATCTCTGATATGTGGAATTGTGCGAGAGACACTCGGAGGAGAGGAGCCAATCGATGAATAGAATCTGAAGATCATGAGATGGATGGTGAACATCTGAGTCCACCTGTGGAGGCTCGTCTGGACTCACACTCGTCCCTCTGACTGTTTGTGTGGAAACTCGTCCTCCTGCAGCTGCTGTCAAACCAAACTGAGCCCAGAACGTCTGTGGTTTCACTCACGCACATGAACCGGAGGAACAATCGCTGCTCTTCACACTGAGAATGTGACGTGCGTGTGGATTAACCCTCAAATCAAACACAACATTAAATCATCAGTCTGTTGTTTGGCTTCTGGTGACGATGAAATATCTCCAGCGTCTTGAAATAAATGGTGAGACAAGTGGATTTACTTGATTACAACTTGTCTTGAACTCCAGTATTTCAGTTTGATTTCTACTTTACACTTCTCATTCATGTGTCACATTAAAACGAGGAAGTGACTCAACAAGATATCAGTGACTGTGAATACATGTGCAGATGTGATTGAGGAGCTGAGTCACCTCAGTGTGATCTGCTTTAGTAACAGATGAACAACAGGTGGCGCTAAGCAGCCCTCCCACAATGCTAACGTCCGACTGTGTCACTGTTTGAAAAGATCCTCACACAAACTTCTTCTCCACATTAAATCTGAGTTCTGCAGTTGGAACTGATTCTTTTCTTTTCTCCACAGATTTGTTTTTATAATCTCAGAGAATTTTCCTCACAGATTCTGAGTGGGCGTGTGGCGCGCATGAATGAAGCGCTGGTTGTCATGGTAACATGATGTATCACTACCAGCATCAGCACCTTCAGTGGCAGTACTCTACAATAGTACTTTACAGTAGTACTCTACAGTAGTACTTTACAATAGTACTTTACAATAGTACTCTACAGTAGTACTTTACAGTAGTACTCTACAGTAGTACTTTACAATAGTACTTTACAATTACAGTACTACACACTAGTTCAAATGCACCACATGAACGTCCTCATGATTCAAACATGTCGGTGGAGGTGAAGACTGCAGCTGCTTCTTCTTCTTTTCTTCTTCTGTGGTTTAATGTGTCTCTACTTCCTGTGATTGGTCCAAACTGTCCAACAAAGTGTTTTCACTGTGAACCAACAGAACCAGGTTCAGTTTGATCCAGACCCAGAACTCCTCCTCTGGTCCGAGGAACCGTTCACACCTGAAGCTCTGAAACAAACCAGGTGTGAACTGGGAGATGATTAAGAGTGTAACTAGTCACAGTCATGAACATGATGAATTACTATCAGAGGAGCGGAATCCTCTCTGTAAATACTCTGATGTCAGACTGAGGTTTTCTCTGAGCTGTGACATGACGGGCGCCTCGTTAGGCCTTAATTAAGCCTCACGTTCCTCTGCATTAAGCTGCGACTGTCGACACAGAGACCTTTAATGAACGTCAACTGAGGAGCCTGGTTGTTTTCATCAACACACACCAGCTGCACAGAGAACATGGAGCCTTAATCAGTTTCTGCTCCAGAACTCAGAGTCAGAGGAGAGTTCACATTTTAAAACCACTGTCATCGTCTCATTGTCTCTGGACGTTTCTCTTTATAAACACTGACGTGTTATTTAGCTTCAGTCCTAAAAGTACATTTCTCATTCATTCGCTCCATCGATGTTTCAGAAAATAATCCTGAAGAGGAAAAACCAAGCTCCTGAAGTTTATTGTAGGTTTATTTTTCGAGACACTTTACTTTCGTTACAAAGTTTATTTTCCATCAAGATTCATGAATTATTCTGAGAAATCAGAGAAAATGTGAAAAAGCTTCATTATGTCATCGAGAGATTAAAAACAAAAACTGCATTCAAGATCATGACACAATTTACTGAGTGTGTGTGTGTGTGTGTGTGTGTGTGTGTGTCTGTGTGTGTGTGTGTGTGTGAGAGAGTGATTGTTGCATAATTGAAAGGTTTGAATCACAGCGTCTCAGGAGTCAAGAAGAGTCGGACTAAATCGAACTGATCAACACTTAATCACAGAACTGAGAACAATATCACGTGTTCACTTCCTGTGAGAAATGAATCCGTGAACATCACGTGTTCACTCCTGAGTTCAAAGAGGCTGAGAACAGGTGACTTGAACTCTTCATCTCTCTGCCTCCTCTTCCTCCTCAGAA